AGTTCAGCATGGTTATAAACTGTGGCTAATACCTTCTATTGAAGTTCTTGTAGCCATCTGTATAATACCTTCTACTCCTTTCTGCAACATGCTTCTGTTAAGTGCCCACTTGCCTTTATCAACTAGTTATAAATGGAGCTTTAATATGTAGTTCAACCACATTAAATTAGCTCAAAACTGCCGAGATATCATCCTAGGAGAAGACTGTGGCCATAGGTGCTCACTAGGATGATTGCTTGTGTTCCTGTCTTCTGCATGCCAGCTACTGGCATGGAGGCAGAGCAGTTGCTGCGCTCTGCCTTGCAAAATTTATAGTCTGGCAGGGGGAGCACATACCTATGGCTGCCTTCCCCTATGCTGGGAAATCCAAGGAAGGAATTGCAACCTCTGGAGTGGCATTCCCTATGCTCTACTTCTTTTAACATGCAGCTCCATACTGCCCCTTGCTGGGAGCTGCTTTTGCTGGGAGCCGACTTGTCGTCAGGCTTTAGCGGCAGTTATAATTTTAGGCTGCTCAGGCAGTGTCCTGTAAACTACTGTTCCTGTCCAGTAACCCCTGTATGGAACCATAAAAATGTAGGACTGAAAGAGACTTCAAGAGATGATCTAGTCCATCTCCCTGCACTGAGGCAGTACCCAAGCTTTCCTAGACTGTTCTTGGTAGATATTTGCTTAACTAGTTGCTGAAAACCTTTAGCGAAGGAGATTTCACAGCCTCCTATGGCAGTCCCAGAGTTACCACCTTGACAGTTAATGTCTAACTGCTCAAGGAACTGAAATGAAGGTACATTGTCTTGCTCAAAGCACTCTTAGTGGGATTTTTAAAAAACAAGATCCAGATCCTGGTCATCCAACTCCTGATAAATAGCAGATTGCTCCAGAAACAACATCACTGGCCTCAGCGCAGCCGTCTGTGGAATAAGCCATTATTCAACGTGTGATTGATTTCCAAGTCCTGGCCCCATCGTCTGTCAGACGGAGGCTTCTTTTGAAAACAGTGGGAGTTCTGTTTAAGGGCAGTAGGATTGGGGAATAGAAGCCAAATTCTTCCCTCAGCTGCAATTGCTCTGAGCCCAGGTCTAAATTTGGCCCTAAGTTATCATTTCTATCTAAACAGTTTATCTGGAATGGAGGGTTGTGTTTAAGTCACTGCTGCTCTGAGGCCCCCAAGGCTTTGCACATGAATAAGCTGTTTTTAAAGCGGAGTGGTCTGGGAGAGCGTTAACCACTAGCAGCTTTGATTCTGGGGGTGAGGCTGAGAAAAAGACCACAATCCAGGAGTACTAGATAGATGCAGAGCAAATGGAAGGAGGTGAGGATAGATGTTGGGTGGTTATCTGTGTAAACTAAGCCTCTGTACATAATGCAGTTAATCATCTCATTAAATCTCCAACAGCACCAAATTATGTGAATAACCCTTTGTGACCATGTCTAATAATAATGCAGTCTTTATGTGGCCTCAAAGCACAAATTCTAGCAAGACTTTCCACCCCTCCCACACTCCAGGTTCATATATGTGGCCTGAAGTGTGGCCTTGAGACTGTAAAAAGACAGTGTTTTCCTGCTTCATTTATATCATAGACCTTTCTAGGTCCAGTCTAAAGTCCAATGGAAGTCTTTCCTTTGGTTCCACTGGGCTTGGGATCAAGCCCTAAGAAAGGAAAATGGTTGGTTGATGTTGACTATAATGGGTGTCCTCTGAATGTAGACATGATGGATGTGTCCACACTGCCTCAGCCTGGCCTGGGGGAGTGCTGCAGTGAGATGTACCATGCTTTCTTCTCACGGATGGCCTCCTGAACCAGAAGTAGTATAGCTGATTTAGTGCAGTTCTGGGTATGCACCAGTGGGCGCATCCAGATGCCCACCAGCGCAGTTCTAGGTATGCACCAGTGGGCGCATCCAGATGCCCACCAGTGCAGTTCTGGGTATGCACCAGTGGGCGCATCCAGATGCCTACCAGTGCAGTTCTAGGTATGCACCAGTGGGCGCATCCAGATGCCCACCAGTGCAGTTCTGGGTATGCACCAGTGGGCGCATCCAGATGCCCACCAGCGCAGTTCTAGGTATGCACCAGTGGGCGCATCCAGATGCCTACCAGTGCAGTTCTAGGTATGCACCAGTGGGCGCATCCAGATGCCTACCAGTGCAGTTCTAGGTATGCACCAGTGGGCGCATCCAGATGCCCACCAGTGCAGTTCTAGGTATGCACCAGTGGGCGCATCCAGATGCCCACCAGTGCAGTTCTAGGTATGCACCAGTGGGCGCATCCAGATGCCCACCAGCGCAGTTCTAGGTATGCACCAGTGGGCGCATCCAGATGCCTACCAGTGCAGTTCTAGGTATGCACCAGTGGGCGCATCCAGATGCCCACCAGCGCAGTTCTAGGTATGCACCAGTGGGCGCATCCAGATGCCCACCAGTGCAGTTCTGGGTATGCACCAGTGGGCGCATCCAGATGCCCACCAGCGCAGTTCTAGGTATGCACCAGTGGGCGCATCCAGATGCCTACCAGTGCAGTTCTAGGTATGCACCAGTGGGCGCATCCAGATGCCCACCAGTGCAGTTCTAGGTATGCACCAGTGGGCGATCCAGATTTTCCACAGGGAATAGCAGCAGCACAATATTGTGCACAGTATGTGCACATGGCAAGTTGCCCCAGGTGGAGTAGGGAAGGCTGAGACCAGCACCTGGGCTGGCCCCAGCAGCCTAACCTGGGGTCCTGGGGCCTCCTAGGGTTCCAGCGGCGGTGATCTGGTGCAGATCCTGGCCAGCAGCCAGAGTGTGTTTTTTGGTCAGCCAGGCTCAAGTTGCGGGTGGCACATACTGCCTTTTTCAGGCTGGGTTTTTTGACAGCAGGATCTCCCAGTGTCAACCCACCCGCCCCCTTGGGCAGCGTGGGGAATGCCTGCATGTGTGACATGTGCAGTGTGTGGTGCCACAGATGGGTCTGCGAGGCTTCGTACCACAGGTATGCACTCATCTGGACCTGCCCAGTAAGTCCTGCCCCTCAGGAGAGTTTGTTGGCTAGTACGTACTTATGTATTTGTGGATAACCATTTACATAAGGAGCCCCCAAAATCACCACTTCAGCCCCTCACACACAATTACAAGGCACAAGACCAGAAACTCCCTCCAGCCAGCCAGAGGTAGAAACAGGGGAGACAAGGGCACAGCTGAAGTTCAGCTACTCCAGCGATGAGCAGATAGTAGGTTTGTAGATGATTAGACGATCCTAGGAAGTGGATCGTGGTTCATGGTACCAAGGAAGGCAAAAACCTGCACAGTCCTTACCAATCTGACGTAAGGGCAAAATGCCTTCCTGACCCCAAATCTGATGGTGATTATGGCCCTGAGTGAAAGAGTAAGACCCTCCAGCAGGAACCTCTGAATTTCCTAAGCGCTGCATGAAGCTGGGCACATTACTTCCAGGCAGGGGTTACTGCATGTGAAGCAGACTTGACATGGTACCATGTGTCTCACTTCAGTGCCCAACAGTGCTATACTTGGGCAGTGCTGACGTGCCCTATGGATCTCAGAAGTGAACGTGCACCGACTGCTGAGTGGTGACAGCTGTCACTTCCTGCT